CGAACCCAGAAGTTTGATTCCAGCCGCCGAACTAGCAGCTGGGTATAGACGTACCCTTTGTAACTGATGAGGGATTCCCACGAGGACTGTTGAGGGGGCGATGGTAAATACACATTTAGATCCTTTTCTTGTTTTATATCTTTTTCCCATAAGGCTTAACATCTGGCACACTGTCATTGATACATAGCATATGTGCAATGCCCTGGCTTTTAAACAGTCCTTGGGAGGTGCCTCTTGAGTGCGCCAGACCCCCAAGGGGTCCCACTCTTCTACAAGGATAGGTCATGTAGTTTCAGCACCTGAGACTGAGCCTCTGGCTTCAACACTCCTATTTCAACCTGTGAGCTCTGCCAGCAGGTCCAGCTGAACTACACTCCTGTTCAGAGACTGTTCCTCATTCATGCTTCAGTGCACCTCAGCAAGTTTTTGCTGTGACACTGGGCAGACTGTTAAAACACAGCAGGGTTTATTAGTCAACTGAAACACAGCATTAAAAAGTCTTTAGATTAGGACAGAGAAGCAAAGAAGACGATATACTCCATATTGGCCAATGCTCTTGAGCCATTCTGCTATTAAAAACAGTTTGGTTTCCTTTCACTTTGCCTGTCCATTTCTCTTCACTCCGGTACAGCTCCCTGCGTCTGCAAACCCAATTTTTCCTGCTCCCAAAAACATAACGAGTCCATGTATGCGTCACTCAGCAAAGCTGAGATCCTCCTCCCATGGATAGGTGAGAATTATTCCCTTGTCTCTGTCGAGTATTCCACTGATGTAGGTTGGTCCCAGCCAGTCCTTAATGACCCATTCAGATCACCCCATGACAGCTCCGTGACAAAACACCTCATGTCTCCTGCTCTTTATAATCATAGCAATACCAATCACAGAGGGAAACTGAGGTGTGTATTGGTATCATACAAGTATCTCCAAAATTCCCACCTCTATCACACACACACACTGCTCACAGCCCTTAGAGAGAAAGCAAAGCACAGGAACTGGACGTTAGTCCAATGAACACAATGGAGGACTAGCTGCAATCCTCAAACTCTAATAAAAAACGAGAGGCATGTGGGTCCTTACCCATAGAGAGGGGCTGGCTAGAGGCCTGATACCTGACAGGGCATTCCTTGAGCAGACCGTGGAGGCAGGTCAAAGGCTTAGCTACCCCAAAACTGTGACATCGCAAAAGCACATTTTGGGGAATTAGGAAATCTAGTGACTCAGGTGTAATGGGAGGGAGAATTACACTCTCCGAGTGTGTGGAGAAGGCTGGAACACTAAAATTCAGGAGCAACAGCCTCTAATTCTTCCGGAAAAGGAGAATGTAAGAAACAAGAACTGGGCCACGCAACTTCAGGAGGGACAGGCTCAAAGATCCAAGGAGCCTGGAGGGAAGACGGCTTGTGGCTTCTGCAAGGGGGTGGGGGGTGGGGGGGCAAGACTCTCTCTAAACTCTCACTCCTGTTGACCCTAACCTGATTTTATGATCTATGTCCTAGTCACATGTCTTGTGGGTAAAATGTCATTATCAGAGTATTGCTTATTAGTTTGGAACATGCATGGAGGGGAAGGAGGTGAACATAAGTAAATGGGTTATTAAGCTTGCTACAGTTAAGGGCTTTATATTAGGTGGAGGCTTTGTGGGAGTAGTTATACTGAAGTCTGGGATTTACCTGAATCGGACTAAGGAGAGAATCCCAGATCAGATATTTTGCACACTGATTTTGAGAGACTAATGAGGAACCACAATAGGTGCAATACGCCACAGGATTCTGAAAGGAAGTAAATTTGGGGCGGGCTTTAGCAATTAGGTTGCTATGCGGTATCTCAGCAGCTGGACCACATTCATATATTGGAATTAATAAATAAGTGATGTAAATCATGAGCATTAATGCTTGGTGCTTAATTATGGACTTCCCAAAGGCCAGATATGGGTTGCAGCAGCTATTGACATTATTTTAATCAGAGCAAAGGAGCAGATATGGTATATAGCCATCCTATTACCATAAGGAAACTGATAAAATACCTCTCCTAGTTACCATTTTTTCATTTTGTCAGGTCCCCAAGTAAAGTCAAGCAGGGCCTCCATTCTGATGGTCTCCCTTGCCCCTTGACCTTTGTTTCCAAAGGTGTCCATAACTTGTAAGTATGCATAAGGCAAGACCCTCTTTACTATACTTATCTTAGTCTAATCATTATGTGTATTGATCCTTGCCTATGATTTCAATTATAACTGTCTGTATTAAATCAGGGTCGCTGTGCATAGAGATGGGGAGGTTATATGGGGGGGGGCGTAATGAGCGAGAGAGGGAGGTTAAGAGTTAAAATAATAATATTGGGGGGGGGATGTAAAAAGAAGTGAAACAAAAGAAATAAAACTGGAGCGTAGGCTCTAAAGCAACAAGACTTGGGTAGGGATTCAGGGTTAAATGTCTGGGATCCCCCACAACTGTAGATCCCAAAACTTCTCGTCCTTCCCACTGACCTACCCAGCCCACTTCCTGGGTGTCCTTCCTCCACACTCCCCTCCCCTTCTTCCCATTACTCTCAGCTGTCACCACCTCCTGGCACCTTGGGGCTTCTTGTGTTCCCTCCTCGTCTCTCACTACCTCCTCCATCCCTGCTGCTTCTTAGCTTTCACCCTGCCCACAACCTCACCATTTCCTGGCACCCCAGAATTATCTACTCCCCCCCTTCTACGGCTCTGTTCTCCTTTCACCAGTGGGATCCTGAATGGCAACATTATGCGCTCTCCTCTCAAAAGATGAGCTCATCTGACAGTCACACAAGCATGCGTCAGTCATCGACCTATTTACTCAATTTAGAATTCTACAGGTGGCATATTTTCCTCTTAAAATGAAGAAAAAGCATGAAAGTGCTAGTTATTAATGTATCCAATAAGGATACATTAAATGCAATTTTAAAATGACTGACGGCACCAAAAAGGCACATGTCCAAAAATTATTCTAGCGGGTGGGTGATAAGGAAAAAAAATGGGGGCAAGGAAACTTGTCAAAACTTGTATGATGAATAAAGGTATAAAGTTATTACTACTCAGGTTCTTTAGAGACCCCACAGCTTCTAATAACTGAGGTGACAGGACTCCTTACCCAGAAAGACCACCGTCTCATAGTTCTCCTTCATGACATCCCTGTAGAGGGCTCTCTGAGCGGGGTCCAGCAGAGCCCCCTCTCCACTGGTGAAATACACAGCCACCTCCTCGAAAGTCACCGGTCCCTGAAAGAGCAAGAGTCCAACACTCAGTACCTGCTGCCCCATTACAACCCCACTATTCACGGAACAGCAGCACCAGGTAAATGGAAGCTTTGGTAGGCACATGTTAGTAGAGTCCCACCCCACGTTGGTTAGAGCAGCCAGGAGGCATCAGAGGGTAGAAAGAGAGAACGTTTGTGTCTCGCAGTTGACAGACGGAGGCAGGGTCTTCACATTTATCACATACCTACTAGCCAGAGCTTGATATAGGAGATAGGGCTGTCTCTGGACCCTGCTGGTGGCTCCCTGGTAGGGATCCCAACACACTCCAAATAAAATATGGGAAGAAAGGGGAAGTCAATAGTAAAGAATATAAGGGAGAAGGTCAGAATTGTAGAAAACTGGCTATCAGAAATCAATGACCAATCAATGACAATAAGAAGGAAGTTTTTAAAAGTATATCAAGTACAAAATTAATCCTAACAATGGTAGTGGTAAAATTACTAGACGGAAATGGCAGAATTATCAAAAATAATGCAGAAGAGGTAAAGTGTTCAATAAATATTTCTCCCCTGGATTTGGAGAAAAACAGATGTTGTACTCATATCATAAGATGTTGACGACGACACTCTTTCCATTCCAACAAGAACTCACAAGGATGTTAAACAGCAGCTATTAAATAAAGTTAGACATGTTTAATCAGTGGGTCCAGATAACTTGTATCCAAGAGTTTTAAAAGACCTGGTGGAGGAGCGTGGTGAACTGTTAATGTTTATTTTAATTAGAACTTGGAACACTGGAGAAATTCCAGAAGACTGGCATAAAGCTAATGCAGTCCCAATATTTAAAAAGTGTAAAAGAGATGACCCAGCTAATTACAAGAGTGTCAGTCTGACATCGATAATGGACAAGATAATGGAGCAGCCAATACTGGATTTCATTAAAATAAAGAATTAAAAAAGAGGATAATATAATTAGTACCCATGAACAAAGGTTTAGAGAAAATAGATCCTATCAAACTAACTGGATATCATTATTGGAGGAGATGAAAAGTTTGATTGCAGCTAATAGTATTGATGTAATATACCTAGACTTCGGTAAGGCATATGACTTGGTTCAGCACAATAAGTTGACTAAAAAACTAGAATGATACAAAATAAACATGGCATACATTAAATAGATTAAAAACTGGGATTGTAAATGGGGAACCATGGTCGAATGGATTTATTTCTAGCGGGTTCCCGCAAGGATTGGATCTTGGCCCTGTGCTATTTCACATTCTTATCAATGACCTAGAAGAGAATATAAAATCATCACTGAAAGTTAGCAGTTGCCACAAAGACTGGGGGTGGTGGGAACTAATGAAGTGTCAATAGATTCAGGCTCCAGCATTGGGAATCTGGGAAGTTTTCCCAGCCCTTGTTGGAGAGCTATTTCTTGTTCCACAAAGAGGGGACGGTCCATTCCCAACTCCTGTGCCTTGAATTTAGGCTCTATATGGCACTACACCCCATATTCAGTATAGTTGTATGATTATAATAGGATTAGGTCATAATTATGATACATTATGTGCAAGATGCCTCATGTGCGGTGTCATTGGAAAAGTTATGATTTGCTGAATAGGATTATCCTATTTGTGTGCATAGATCATGTTTGTATCTGAAGTTATGGATATTGACTATGTACCTGTATTTCAAATGTTTTTACTCTGGGTAACACCCACAACTAGCCTTTCAGGTACAACAATGAAGAAGCCAGACAGTGCTGATGGCTCATCAACAAAGACAATGGACCGTGGAAGAGCTCAGCCTTCCTGTGAAGGTTTCAGGCAGCCTATGAGTCATGGCTACTATGACTCAGCAGTGCATGCTAGGGCATGTGACCAGACCACATGACACTGAACTCCATTTTGTTACCTCTATTTTTCCACAAATTGAATTGGGAACTGAGTTTGGAAGAAAGGGTTCCCGCCATGTGGAAAAGCTACATAAGGTGGGGCGTGACATCATCTCTTGGCCTCATTCCCCACGCAAGAGAACTCCTGGAAACACCTAAGGAACAAAGACTGAACTGGGGGAAGTGCTGGTCCCAGGGTAAAGGGATTTCTAGCCTGTGTATGGAAACTTGGTGGACTGCTTTTACCATCAGTCAGGGTGAGAAATTGCTAATTCAAATTCTATCCATATAGTATGTTAGCAAATAACCAAAAACTCAAACGAAACCTAAGTAATCTGCTTTGATCTGTTTGCTATCACTTATAATTGTTGGCATATGTTAGGGTTAAGTAAAAGAGCTGAGAAGCTGCTAATGTACTGACATTGCATTAGGGGACAAAGGCAGAGGCGAGGAAAGTGATCAGGAACAGTCAGCATGGATTCACCAAGGGCAAGTCATGCCTGACTAACCTAATTGCCTTCTATGAGGAGATAACTGGGTCTGTGGATGAGGGGAAAGCAGTGGATGTGTTATTCCTTGACTTTAGCAAAGCTTTTGATACGGTCTCCCACAGTATTCTTGCCACCAAGTTAAAGAAGTATGGGCTGGATGAATGGACTGTAAGGTGGATAGAAAGCTGGCTAGATCGTCGGGGCTCAATGGATAGTGATCAATGGCTCCATGTCTAGTTGGCAGCCAGTATCAAGCAGAGTGCCCCAAGGGTCGGTCCTGGGGCCGGTTTTGTTCAATATCTTCATTAATAATCTGGAGAATGGCATGGACTGAACTTTCAGCAAGTTTGCAGATGACACTAAGCTGGGAGGAGTGGTAGATACGCTGGAGGGTAGGGATAGGATACAGAGGGACCTAGACAAATTAGAGGATTGGGCCAAAAGAAACCTAATGAGGTTCAAGAAGGACAAGTGCAGAGTCGTGCACTTAGGACGGAAGAATCCCATTCACTGTTACAGACTAGGGAATGAATGGCTAGGAAGCAGTTCTGCAGAAAAGGACCTAGGGGTTACAGCGGACGAGAAGCTGGATAGGAGTCAACAGTGTGCCCTTGTTGCCAAGAAGGTTAACGGCATTTTGGGCTGTATAAGTAGGGGCATTGCCAGCAGATCGAGGGACATCATCATTCCCCTCTATTCGACATTGGTGAGGCCTCATCTGGAGTACTGTGTCCAGTTTTGGGCCCCACACTACAAGAAGGATGTGGAAAAATTGGAAAGAGTCCAGCGGAGGGCAACAAAAATGATTAGGGGGCTGGTGCACATGACTTATGAGGCGAGGCTGAGGGAACTGGGATTGTTTAGTCTGCAGAAGAGAAGAATGAGGTGGGATTTGATAGCTGCTTTCAACGACCTGAAAGGGGGTTCCACAGAAGATGGATCTACACTGTTCTCAGTGGTACCAGATGACAGAACAAGGAGTAATGGTCTCAAGTTGCAGTGGGGGAGATTTAGGTTGGATATTAGGAAAAACTGTTTCCCTAGGTGGGTGGTGAAGCACTGGAATGGGTTCCCTAGGGAGGTGGTGGAATCTCCTTCCTTAGAGGTTTTTAAGGTCAGGCTTGACAAAGCCCTGGCTGGGATGATTTAGTTGGGAAGTGGTCCTGCTTCGAGCAGGGGGTTGGACTAGATGACCTCCTGAGGTCCCTTCCAACCCTGATAGTCTATGATTCTATGCAGTAATTCTTTGCTTAATAAATAAGTTGCCATATTTTTCCATTCTCTGTTGCTTGTAAGAATTGATAAGAATCAATGCATGAGAAATCTAGTTGTTGGAATGAATGTCCTTTGTGTGAAAGAAAGTAAAAGAAATGTTATCTCCCCCTCCCTTCCTTTCGCAGCTACATAAACAAGCCCTGGCTTATGGCCCCTTCCACCCTCCCCTGAGAACTGCTCATTGCCCCTTCCTCCGTCCCCTGAGAACTGATGATTAGGGAAATTTGTAGCAACACATTAATGCAAAGAACTGTATTTTCAAGGTAAAAATGTCTGTATGACATGCGCAATCCTGTGAATAATAGACGAGGTGGGTATACTAACTGTATGGGTGTTTCTATTACTTAAGGGTTTTGGGGGTGTTGTAATGGATGTAGGCGTGTACATACTAACTTAGATAAAAGGAGCGTGATATAACTAATCCAGTGCTTACTCAACAATTGGGTCGAGGGGAACAGTATCGCAATAAAGAAGCCTGTACTCATATTCGCCTCCGGGTCAACCTGCTCCTTTTTTCTTCTAACAATAATCACTTAAAATCTATCTTTCTGCAGTTAATAAACTTGTTTTATGCTTTATCTTAACCAGTGTTAAGTATTTTGAGTGAAGTGTCCGGAGAAAATCTCAGCGTGGTTAGCACAAGCTTGTTGTGCACATCTTTCCCGTATCGAGGGGAAGGCAAATTATATTAATGAGATTACATTATGGAGATCCCTGTGCACTATAAGATGGTATAATTCTGAATTTATACTACAGCAAGTGTGCAAGTTTGGGGAGCTGGGAAATTGGCTGTTGTCTTCTATCTGTCCTTGAGTGGCTCAGGTAAAGCACCCAGGTAGCTTAGTTGGGTGTATGGTGCCACCTGCTGTCGTGTTGGGTGATAACAGGGCCTGGAGAGGCTGACTGAATCTCCAGCAAAGCAGTGTGAGACAAGCCAGCTTGAGGGTTAGAGGGCACAGCGGTTCCCAGACAACACCCCCTAATCACACCCTAAATTACACAAGTCTCAGCGGGTTTGTCACATCGTGTTATTTCCTGCCTCCCACCACCTGTAGCAGCTACCACCTTCCTTTGCCTTTACTGCTCTTCTCCATCCAAGCAGAACCCACCACCAGTTCCGTGATTATCTCTTACCTGAGCCAGCTCCATTGCAGCCATTTCCTTCCCCCTGGGAGGATGGGATGATCTGGAGCAAAATGTGGACGTTATTCTGTAGCCTGACAGGATGAGAAGGGCAATGTGAGAAAATTCAGATGGGGCTTTCGTCCATTCCACATGCCGATTCCCCTCAGAATTTTTCCCTGCTAATGGACATTCTAGGTTCTGTCACACTGAAGCACAGATTGACCTTCTTCCAGTAGAGGCCTAGCCCCCTCCCATCAGGGTGTAACCCTCTGAGAAATGGTGAAACTCTCCCAGTAACAGTCTCTGTTACGCTTATCAAGTTTGCGGACGATAGCAAGCTGGGAGGGGTTGCAAGTGCTTTGGAGGATAGGATTAAAATTCAAAATGATCTGGACAAACTGGAGAAAAGGTCTGAAGTAAATAGGATTAGTCCTCAACTGAAGTACTGTGTCCAGTTGTGGGTGCCACATTTCAGGAAAGATGTGGACAAATTGGTGAACATCCAGAGAACAGCAACAAAAATGATTAAAGGTCTAGAAAACATGACCTATGAGGGAAGATTGAAAAAACTGGGTTTGTTTAGTCTGGAGAAGAGGAGACATGATCACAGTTTTCAAGTATATAAAAGGTTGTTACAAAGATGTGGGAGAAAACTTGTTCTTCTTAACCTCTGAGGATAGGATAAGAAGCAATGGGCTTAAATTGCAGCAAGGGCAGTTTAGGATGGAGATTAGGGAAAAAACTTCCTGTCAGAGTGGTTAAGCACTGGAATAAATTGCATAGGGAGGTGGTGGAATCTCCATCATTGGGGATTTTTAAGAGCAGGCTGGACAAACACCTGTCAGCGATTGTCTAAGATAATACTTAGTCCTGCCTTGAGTGCAGGGGACTGGACTAGATGATCTCGCAAGGTCCCTTCCAGTTCTATTATTCTATGAACCAAAGGCCAGAGAAGAGCAGAATCAAAGGAGTCACTTTGGGGATTCTCCCTCTCATTGTCCCCAAGGCAGCTGTCTCAGGTTTACAAAGTTGTTTGATGCTCCAGCCTTTATACAGTGTGTCCTGGGAGTGCCCCTTTTCAAGGGTTGGGCCTAGTTTTAGCTTTTAACAAGCGTGAACCTGGGGGCTCTGACACTGGACCTTCTTGCCTCAGCACACCTTGTTTCTTTCTGTGGCTCCCCAATGAGTCCAAATGAGTAGATATGCCTCATAGACACTGTGCACATAAGAAGGGCCCACTGTGTGAGACCAATGGTCCATCTAGCTTAGTGGCCAATGCCAGGTGCTTCAGAGGGAAAGAACAGAACAGGTAATCATCAAGTGATCCATCCCCTGTCACCCATTCCCAGCTTCTGGCAAACAGAGGCTAGAGACAGCATCCCTGCCCATCCTGCCTGTGACACTGGCAGATGAGGTGTTAGCTCTTGCAAAAGCCCCGATGTCTTAATTGAATATGGACAAACACATAGCTGGAATCAGTCTGACTCACCTGTGTTAGTATTGTTAAAACAGGTATTAGGATTATAAGAATGTGTTTAGACTTCATTGAATGCTCGTGAGTTGCTGCTTGGGATAATATCTGACTAGTTGCATTGTGAGCCTCTGTGGCTATGTAAATCACCAGACAGGAGAGAGACTTTACCTATGTGAAGTGCTGATTGGCAACAGAATGCATTACATCCTGCCTGGCAGGAACGGTCCATCAACACCAGATAGACTATTATGGGATGTTAAAGAAGACAAAATGTTGTTGTTGTGCTCTTGACTTCCCATTAGCTGAGTTTGCAGTTCAGATCACATGGCAGGAAGGGGATAAAAACCCCATACAGAACGAACTGATTATCTGTATTCTGCTTGGACTCTGGGGGGCAAAGTTTCTAGGCATAAGCAAGAGATCCCCTGCTGATAGGCCTGGGTTAGTCCTAAGGAAGATAAAGAGCTTGCTATTATAGAAACTTCTATTACCTTTTGAAATTTAAGACTAACTTCACTGCATCTATAGGATTACCTGCTTTAACTCTATAAACAACTCATTTCCTTTTAAATAAGTCTAAATACAGGTTATTAAAGGACTGGTTACAAGCATTGTCTTTGTTGTGAGATCTAAGATTCAATTGACCTAAATAAATGACTGGTCCTTTGGGACAAGGTCAGGCTTGACAAATCATAGAATATCAGGGTTGGAAGGGACCTCAGGTGGTCATCTTGTCCAACCCACTGCTCAAAGCAGGACCAATCCCCAGACAGATTTTTGCCCCAGATCCCTAAATGGCCCCCTCAAGGATTGAACTCACAACCCTGGGTTTAGCAGGTTAATGCTCAAATTACTGAACTATCCCTCCCCCCTGGCTGGGATGATTTAGTTGAGGATTGGTCCTGCTTTGAGCAAGGGGTTGGACTAGATGACCTCCTGAGGTCCTTTCCAATCCTGATATTCTATGATTCTATAACCGGCAGTAACTTGAACAT